TCGCCCTATGGAACCTTACCTGGTAAGCCACAGGCACATGGCTGTATACAGATTAATGGATTAGTTCAGGATATAAGAGCTAGCTAGAAATACGCTTAAGCTACTGACCAAGCAGTGATTCAAGTAATATAGGTTCTGAGTGGTTATTTCGAGTCTGGGCAGTTGGGAACGAACAAGTGGACTCTTACTACACGCACACGAGAGAAAAGTACATGAATGTACACATACATATTTGAATGCACGCATGTATACACAGGAAAATCTGTAAGAACAGGACCAAGTGGTTTGCCATGGGATAGATTAATCCATGTTTAATTTGGGGAACTATTTTGTGACTTTAAAAATGAATTTAAAGATTGCAGTACATTGAGCTCCATAGAGACAGCGCCGGGGCAAGCGAGAGCCGGAAGTGCACTGGGCGACTCTGTGCCTCGCAGACGAAAATCAACTAAACATGGGCAAAGGAGATCCTAAGAAGTCGAGAGGCAAAATGTCCTCGTATGCATTCTTTGTGCAAACCTGCCGGGAGGAACACAAGAAGAAGCACCCGGATGCTTCTGTCAACTTCTCAGAGTTCTCCAAGAAGTGCTCAGAAAGGTGGAAGACCATGTCTGCTAAAGAAAAGGGGAAATTTGAAGACATGGCCAAGGATGACAAGGCTCGTTATGAAAGAGAAATGAAAACCTACATCCCCCCCAAAGGGGAGACCAAAAAGAAGTTCAAGGACCCCAATGCACCCAAGAGGCCTCCTTAGGCCTTCTTCTTGATCAGTTCTGAGTATCACCCCAAAATCAAAGGAAAACACCCTGGCTTATACATAGATAATGTTGCAAAGAAACTGGGAGAGATGTGGAAAAACACTGCTGCAGATGACAAGCAGCCCTACGAAAAGAAGGCTGCCAAGCTGAAGGAGAAGTACGAAAAGGATATTGCTGCTTACAGAGCTAAAGGAAAACCCGATGCAGCGAAAAAAAGGGGGTGGTCAAGGCGGAAAAGAGCAAGAAAAAGAAGGAAGAGGAAGATGATGAGGAAGACGAAGAGGATGAAGAAGAGGAGGAAGAAGAGGAAGATGAAGATGAGGAAGATGATGATGATGAATAAGTTGGTTCTAGCGCAGTTTTTTTTCTTGTCTATAAAGCATTTAACCCCCCTGTACACAACTCACTCCTTTTAAAGAAAAAAAATTGAAATGTAAAAAAAAATGAATTTAAAACCACTCTAATGATTCTCAATTATTTCTAGATAAAAGTGGAAAACCCAGGGGACTCTTGGATTATGAGAATTTACATATTCCACACATTCTATTAAAACACCCATTTTATTTTATAAGTGGCTCATCTGTATGGATTTGTATGGGATACAGATAGCATACAGCAGAAAAGACAAGCATCACAACCTTTAACAACCACACACTTCAGGTGATTTTATTTTGTTGCAGCACAAATATTCATAACCCAATATCCTAAAACAAAAGGAGAAAATACGATTATTTTTATCCCAGAACTATTCATTTTATCTGCTATGCTATCAGAAGTAACTTTGGAATAGTAAATTACTTCTGTATACAATTTAGGTCCAAAGACCCTAAAATTTTGCTTAATTCTGTAAGAAATAAAAATTCCAATTGCTTCCTGGGTTTTGTGGTAAGAACTAGGGACCTAGCCAGGAACACAGCCAACCACAGAACACTGATAAGTTGGGATAAGGTAACAGAGCTAATGAGACTGTCTGGTAGAGGTCTGTACTATCCAGAGGCTATAGAGGCTTCCCACAGAACCATGAAGGCCAAAGAAGTGATTAACTGAGTGATTCTGGGGCAGAGTACAGGAGAACAAAGCATTTTCAGAAGAAGCACAGCATACCCCCAGATTGAACCAAGGGCTTTCACTCCTTTAGTTCATACGCTTGTCCATTTAGTCAACCAAAATACAGTTTCTCTTCTACCCCTCCCCTGAAATGAGAATAATTAATGCAGATGCCAAAGGAAATGACAGGAACAAATGGCATTTTTCAAGAAAATGGTAATGAAGGATCTTAAGGGTGTGAGCCAGGAACTTGAACACCAATGTCTAGAGTAAGTCTGGAAGCACACAGCTCTGGTGGTTCAGCATTTTCTGGGACTAAATTTTTTTCCTTTTGGTTTTTCAAGATAAGGTTTCTCTGTGTAGCTTTGGTGTCTGTCAGCTTGGCACGGAACTAGCTCTTGTAGACCAGGCTGGCCTCAAACTCACAGATTCTCCTGCCACTGCCTCCTGAGTGCTGGGATTAAAGGTGTGCAACACCATCACTTGGCTCTCACGTTTCTTTCTTATCTGGACAAAGCATTAACTGTTCCTAGAGCTTTGGTGTAAATAAAAAATTTACACCACTCTTCAATGAAAATATAATACCTTATAAGATTAGAGGTAAGCGGTGCTGGCACAAGCCTTCAGTCCCAGAACCCAGAAGGCAGAGGCAGGCATATCTCTATGAGTGAGGCCAGTCTCGTCTGGTCTACAGTGCAAGTTCCAGAACAGCCAGGACCACACAGAGAAACTCTGTCTAGAAAAAAAAGGAGAGAGGGAGGGAGGGAGGGAGAGAGAGAGCGCAAGTGAGCGAGCTTATGTGGACCTTAGAAATTCTCATCTGAAAACTTCATAAAACAAAAAATTTTGTAATATCAAAACAATAGTTTATGACAGATTTAGAAAAAAATAGTGGTTTTGGTGTTGCTTTTACTGGAACTACAGGTAAAGAGCAACTGTATTATTTTGTTCTGTGACTAATTAAATTACTATCTTCAAGGGAGAACATGGTGACCTAATGATCTGTATGTAGTTGTACTTACTTTTTAATAAAGTTTGGTTTTTAGAAGATATTGCTAGCTTAATGGCTTGACCCAGAGAAAATTATGAAGACAGTATTTCAAATATGTTGACTTTTAAACTATGTCAAATATAGTATTGAAAAATGTACCCAGCATACTAGATACACAATATGCAACATTCATGTCTATTGCTATAGTGTTGCTAGTGACTCAATACAGATATATTATAATCTGTATTGCGTCGGGCAGTGGTGGCGCACACCTTTAATCCCAGCTCTCGGAGGCAGAGGCAGGCAGCTCTCTCTGAGTTCAAGGCCAGCCTGGTCTACAAGAGCTAGTTCCAGGACAGGCTCCAAAGCAACATAGAGAAACCCTGTCTTAAAAAACAAAAACAAACAAAAAGAAACACGTAATATTTAGGGATAATTTTTGTTTACTTTCTTTTTGAAACAGGGTCTCACCCTGAAGCTCTGGCTGGCCTGAACTTGCTCTGTAGATCAGGCTGACTGCAAGCCCACAGAAATGACCTGCCTCTGATTCCCAAGTGATGAGATTATAGGCCTGTGCCACTATGGCAGGCTTAGGAATGAACTTTTTATGGTATGCTCCTGCCACAAAATAAAAAAGGGGAAGAGAAGAATATTGAAAATATTTTTTTACGATTCTATGCCTAGAAAAATTAACACATATATCAGCAACAACCTATCAATACACGACACTCTCCATCTGACAGAACACATATATCAGCAACAACCTATCAATACAGAACATTCTCCATCTGAAAGAATCCAGAAAATAACTCTGTGCTAGAAGCCACGTTATAAGTCACTCTGCATGAGTCAAGATTTATGGTTCTTACTCTTTACTTCTTCAGTGGACAAAGGCCAACTGATATAACCATCTTATTAAGCAGGACGATAACTATGAGCAACTGATGAAATATTAGTTTAAATACTGCTTTTTCAAACTCCTTCACTAAGTAACCAAACACTTAAATATGATTTCTATTATTAGTATTTAAGAGCCAAGGGTCCTTCCAATTAATTATGGCTAATTTTAATCATATTAATTTCAGAGATCTATCAATTTAATGGCTAAAAATACAGCAATGGAGCCAGATAAGCACATTGAAGGCTCTGACATGACATGGATCAAACATGTTTAGAGTCATTAGCATTTAATTTCTTAGCAGACCTTCGAGTTTAGTTCTAGGACTATAATGCCTCAAATACTTAACATCAAATTCCCACATTTTAGGATTTATACATAAAACTGATGCCAATCATCTTTAAGTTGCTACCAAAAAATTTGCAAAAGCTATTTGCTAATAACTGCTTCCTAATTTTAAGTTTTACTCTGACCATGACCACATATTACAAAAATCTATTTACTGTATCTGTAGCGGGTACAAATTATTTGATAATGATCCTCTATCACACCTCAATAACCTAGCTGCCCCTAACCCTGGAAAACTGCCATAGTACAGAAAACTTAAGGCAGAAAAGCTCAAAGGGTGGAGAACTCAGGTAGTTCCTGTTCGGTATTCTATTTAGCAGTACAGTCACAAAAAGGCAACTGAATATAGTAACTGTCCTACTTGAACTAGGACAGCACAGCAAGTGACCCTACTATGTTCTTTGGCTCTTTGGTGGAGATAATTCTATCCCAAATAAAAATAAAGTATGAAAAGACTTTAGCAGTAATAAAAATGTCGAAAAAATACTTATTTCACACACCTGTTGTCCAAGATCACAACTTGATAGCTAAGGTGCAAAGGTCAAGAACAGGACTGAAGTGTGTGCTATGGAATAACATTTGTGAGATAAGGCTGCTGCTGCTTCTTTTTAAAATTTACTTCTTATGTAGACAGTGTATGCCAGCATGCATGCCTACGTGCCAGAAGAGGGAACCAGATCTAATTATAGATGGTTGTAAGCCATCACGTGGTTGCTGGCAACTGAACTGAGGACTTCTGGAAGAGCAGCCAGTGCTCTTAACCACTGAGCCTGTAAGGCTGCTTCTTTCATTGTTCAGAGAATACAAAACAGAGATGCCATTTTACTCAATGTCAGCAAACATTTAGGGATAAGCATTCTGTTAAAACAACAGCACTGTTTCTTACTAAATTTTTATTGATACTTCATTTACTTGAGCTTTGATTTTTTTTTAAAAAAAGACACTGTTTAGTCAATAATATGGTCCATATTATTTAATACTGTGCAACTAAAAATTACAAAGTATTTGAGATCTTATTTTAAATATGTTCTTCTCAAAACTGGAAATCTATACTAACATACAAATCAATCATTCTTTCTCTCTGAGAAGTAAGCTATGAAAGCAAACTATGCACACCACATCCTTTGAGATCACACATTAAATTTATTAGATGGATGCTAAGGGAAAGTGCAATCTGAAGCCATGGAATTATTTCATGCATGTGAAAAGTTAATGAACTTAAAAGGATCAGACTTAAATCCTTAGTGTCATGAGCATCACACTACACCATGTTAACCTGCCCAAATGGTCGATAAGACCATGGAAAGAAAAGCACTAAGAAAGACAGGCTGTATTTCCTGTCTTAAGGTTTCAGAGATGATGCAGGTTAAGAAATTCTCACATCCTGAAAAAGGACTTCTTACATACCTCACCTCTTAGTCACAAAACTGCAATCATCTGGAGTGAGAACATAACAATCAATTACTACAAGCAATGTCCATCCTGTGGAGTACATAGCTATCTGGAATGATAGCTATACAAAACCAGAATTCAGTGAAAAGTAACACTTTAAATATTTTCACAGCAAGAAAAGATGCTGGGGAGGCCTCTTAGTAGTCACTGTTTAAGTGTTAAAATGTTAAAGACGTACATTGGAATATGAGGAGAAATTTGATTATCTCTTCTGGAAGTTTGCAAGCCTTATTAAAGAAAGATGATGGATGGATCAGGAGTGATATTCAAAAGCAATTCTAAGACAGGGACAATTCAGAACTGTTAAGGTATTCCAGAATTGAGTACACTAATGCTAAAAATGGTTAAAACAAAACAAAACAAAAACCACTTGCATATAGTTTGCTGGGATTTCACACTAACCATTAGAGGAGGTAGAGATGCAATGTGTTGGAACTTAAAAGTACAATGTCAGCATTAATTGTAAACAATTCTGAAACATGTATAGAACTTTTCAGAACACATGTAGTGAAAAAGAATTAGATTTCATATAAAATTAGAATTGAAAAAGCAAAAAATAGAAATATTTAGTAAATTTACTCAAATGAAGTTTAAATGTTACAAAAATGAAAAATATTAGAAATTATATACAATAAAAAGTGAATATAAATTAACCAACTCCAAGAACATTTCCAGTTAAATATTCATACAAATACATATTCACCTTTTTCTTTGTATACGAATAACACATTCATACAAACATATCATGAAGATTCTGGCAAAAAAAATTCAGAGATGCTAAAAATGTCTCAAGTTTTAAAAAATGGTGTAGAATATACTTCAACAACAACATTCTACATGAATGTAAACCCCTGATTTAATTCCATGATTTTATCATGCCAGAAGCATGGTTGTTTTTAATTTTTTTAAAAGAGATATTGGTATTATAACTCATTGGCTTATCAATAATTAAGGCATTTGTACACGGTATCAGTGTGGACAAAAAATTTTAATATTACTTATTATGATGTTTTAAACTTTTGAAGTCTTTTCAACAGAAGAAATAGCTGCACACATTTAAGTGTTTCTTCATAAAACACAACAAAAATTAGTGATTGGTCTTTGTAGTTCCTGGTAAAAGTCCTGTCTTGTTTTGAATACTATAAATGATATTCTTATGCAGGAATGAGTTAAGACCCAGAAGTTCTTGAACACCCCTACCAAACAGCTGTAATGGTTCTGTGTGCAGCAAGGCGAACAGTCTTTAGAGTGCACTTTCACCTCATTGAAGTTGAAGTTGCTCCTTCCGGATATTTCCACTTCAATGTGAAGTACATTGTTAGGATTTCATTAGTGGCTTTATTATGTGGCTTTTTAAAAGAAAAAAATGTTTTTATTTCTTCCACAGTTCACAGTTCTCAGAAGAGACCTACTTTTGGAAATCATATAATCCAGCGCTGTTTGAACAGCCAAATACTCTTTAGAAGATGAAATCTCTCAATGCAACTGTAATAAATAAGCATCTACATCCTTAAAGGATAAAACAAAAACATTCCATTAGTTAATAAAGCAAATATAAACACACATAACTCTCTTTCTTTTCTGTTTTTATTTCTTAATTTGCCCTAGGTCCCTTTGTAACCTTTAAAAAGAAGGAAGAAATCTTATGCAAAAATATTATCTGCATTTGTTTATTGCAGGGCCTGGCATATAGTGCATGTTCAATAATGCTGAGTAAATACTAAGTGAATGTTTTGATTCCTGTGCTCAAACAACTCTGCTTTGCAGTCAATATTTGAAGCAATTCTGTAACTGCTATATAAATCAAAGCTTGAAGCATACTAGTTTGACAATATCATTTCTCTAATTTTTAAATATCATTTATTTTTATTTCATTTTATTTTTTTATTTATTGTTTTGGTTTTTCTAGACAAGGTGTCTCTGTGTTGCCCTGGCTGTCTTCGAACTCACTCTAGATCAGGTTAGCCTGGGCATGTGCCACCACCACCCAGCTTATTTTTATTTTATGTGTATGAGTGTTTGCATGCTTGTATGTATGTGTACATGTACACAGAGTGCCAAAAGAAGCAGAAAAGGTCCCTGAATCCCTTGGAACTGAAGTTACAGAAAGCTTTGAGCTGCAATGTGTGTACTAAAAAGAGAACCTATGTCCTCTGAAAAAACAAAATGTACTCCCACCCACTGAGCCAGCCACCTCTCCAGATCCACTCCCCTCTACAATCATCTGTTCACATTTTTAACCTGAAAAAAAAAAATGACACAGTGGAGCAATCAAGGACTGCTGTGAGAAAGGAGGCCGCTGTCATACCCCAGTGGATAGCTCTTAACATAAAAAACAAAACCAAGGCAAAAAATATATATATATATAAAAGTAAAACGAAGAGTTAGGAGAGGCAGGGTGATTGGAGGTGGTGGGAGGATCCGATTAGTACCAGAATGTACTATACACATATATGAAACTGTCAAAGAAAATATTTACTTTTAAAATGGCATATTAGGGACTGATATTGTAATGAAGACTTGATTATCAATCTCACATTGAAATTAATTACTTAACAATTTTCAGTATTACTATAGTATCTTAAGGGCATGTTTATAAGAAAAGGTTTTTTTTGCTTTGTTGTTTTTTTTTTTTGTTTTGTTTTGTTTTTGTTTTGAAATAAAAAGAGAACTGAAGATAGTCAGGCTTGGTAGCATATTCCTCTGATCCCAGCACATAGAGGGCTGTAGCAAGAAGATGGTAATTTCAACATCAGTGTGGGCCTCATAGTGACTTAAGGAGAGCCCCAACTACACAGACCTTGCCTTAGTAACCATTAACATAAAAAGGTGAAGTTCTAAGGAAACATGCTTTCAGCTCTACTATGGTCTTCAGAGTAATGCATTTTGTATACCTTAAAAACACAAAACAAACAACTTCAGGGAAATAAAGTTCTGTTTATAAGACTTTCATCATTAAAGATTCTGAAGGATATTAGAAAAGATGAATTTGAATAAAGCATGACTATACACAAAACATTAAAGAGTCAATAATCAAGAGGAAAAAACAGTGAATTAAAGAATTCTAAGGCATGGTGGCACAAGCCTTTAATCCCAGAATTTGGGAGGCAGAGACAGGTAGATCTCTGAGTTTGTGGCCAGTCTGGTCTACAGAATGAGTTCCAGGATAGCCATGACTATACAGTGAAACCCTGTCTCCAAACAAACAAACAAACAAAAAGCATTCTTGCCAGCCATGGTAATATACATTTTTAATCCCAACACTTGGGAAGCAGAGGCAGGAAGACTTCTGTGAGTTTCAGGCCAGCCATGGCTTCATAGTCAAACACAGTATCAAGAGAAACAGACAGAAAGGTGAGGCAGAGAAGGAGCAAATGGATTAGGGGGAATCTGCTGAGTATACTCACATAGAGTGACACATTTAATGTTTGGTGTCATTTGTTCTTTTTTATATAGGAATGCTTCATGAGTCAATGATATAAAGATTTCCTTAATTCATACAATGCTCTTATTTCCTGGTAAATACCTACTCATAACAGCAAATGCCCAGCAGTAGGTGGAAATATTTTTTACCACTAATTCTTTCTGCAATTATACTATCAATGTCCTCTAGGAGTTTAAGTATTAAAATCCAAACTAGCAATGTATCTTTTTCCTGTAAGAGATAAGCATATCAATACATATTACTATTAGATTCATGTCTAGCTTTTAAATTATAAATATAGATTACCTTAGCTATATTACCAGTATATCCTGGAACCAAAGTAAGATGGCTTTCCTGTTCCCATAATCCATTCAATTGTTGCTTTAAAATTTTAATATTTCTAAGAGTAAAAAAAGAAAAAGAAAGAAAAACGAGAAAGCAAATAGTAAGATATGGACTTGATTTTAATTTACATTATAAAAAAATACACTAATTCAAGCAACTAATTGAAGTTGTACATGCCAGGCACAGAAATTCAAGCATATTTAGTTACAAAAGTAGATAAGACAATAAATAAGCAGGTATTTGTAGCATGGAACAACCTTCTTGGATATGACACAGAAAATTCTGTGAGTCTACAAAGATTATGGAATTTAAGAGGTGGTTAGGGAAAAGAAAGTGTGTGTTTTCAAGACTGTCTATCTTTTTGTCTCTTTGTCCCTCCTCCTCTTATTTTTAATTGTTCCACCATGCCTAGCTTGAAACCAGCTCATCCATGTAGAATCCTCATATTTTCAAGCTAAGGCAATACTCAAATCATGATGATTCTAACAGTTTTCAGAGATCTGGCAGGATACTTCTATTTCCTACTGCGCCTTCCTTCTCACTTACTGGTACAGGGCATGTGAAGGTTAAACCACTGCTGGGTGGCTTTCCTTCTTTAGGGAATGGCTGAGGTAGGTATGCTGTCTTACACTCTGCACTGAGGAAGGTGGCTAAAGAATGCTGAGTTTGAAGGTAAGTCTTTGCTACACAATGAAAAGCCACGAAATAAAACAAAAAGATAAAATAAAAGACAAGGTTCTGGTAGAAGAGATATAGGGAGTTAAAATGTTGTGTGGTTTTTCATAAATAAAAAGTACCTCAGTTTAATATTTCTCTGAAAATGAAGAGGATAAAATCACACAATGATGATCATGGGATAAACTCACTACTTTGCTTAATTAAGATACTTTTTTATAGAAATTTCAGCATGAATTATCTTTAAAGCTATACGTACCCATCACTTGTAATTTCTGATTTAGATGAGAGTTCTGACCACCACCTTTTTATTACTGCTTGAAGCCAGTTTAAGCCAACTATTACATATCTGAAATGAAATATTTTGACAGAATTTGTTTTCATATAACAAGCCTTTAGAAAAGATGACTCTCTCCCACCTAAAAGCTCCCACATATACACATACTTCTCCCTTAAGAAAAACATATTTCAATACTTTTATGATCTTCATAAAGCCATAGAACTTACACAGCTGTTCTTAGATGCTTTTGTAACTATCCTTTATTATTTACATTTCTTTCCTAATCAGACTATAAACTCCTTGGAAATAAGAACAACAGGGCTGGAGACCAAGGACTCAGTGGGTGAAGGCAACTGACACAAAACCTAACAGCCCAGTTAATCTCTGCAATTCACACAGTGAAAGAGAACCAACTCCTTCCTACAAGTTGTTCTGTCCCCCTCTGTATAGAACCAGGTTATCGTATGTCCCATGCAGCCCAGTCTCCTTCTATGTATTCACGAAACACAGAATCAGAATGTTGAAAGAGCAAAAGGGAGATTTAGATTAGTACTTACTCTTCAAATTTGCTTTGAAGTAAAGACTTTACTAGAGGCAGTAAGTCTACACAGCAGCCAAGTGAGATATATTGCTTTTCTTCCTGTAAACTAAGGAAATTCTAAGTTATAAAATATAAGCCGATTACAATTTGTTTTTCTTTTTTTTTAAAAAAAAATATTTATTTATTTGTTATGTATACAGCATTCCTTCCATGTATGTCTGCAGGCCAGAAGACCCCATTATAGATAGATGGTTGTGAGCCACCATATGGTTGCTAGGGATTGAATTCAGGACCTTTGGAAGAACAGTCAGTGCTCTTAACCTCTGAGCCATCTCTCCAGCCCCCCAATTTGTTTTTCTTTAAAGCTTACTTTTTTTCTGAAAAAAATACTGTTTTTACCTATTGGTTAGAACAGGAAGGCAATCTACCACAACTCCAAGGTCTTCTATCCTGCAAGTACAAGATAAGATACCATTGCTTACATTCATGTTACAATTTCCATCCTTCTTTGGAGGCATTCAACATTTAACAAATAACTTCAGTATTCATCATGAGTCAAGGACTGAGGATATATATAAAGAGGAAAATGGAGACAGGGCTAGCTTTCCAATGCCCGAGTAGGAGGTGGCAATGGAACAAAGGGACAAACAAGTAAAATACATAGAGCAGGACGCTAATGGTAAATACTACAGAGGAGACGAAAACAGGAAGAGGTGGAAAAGGATCAATTACATCTTTTAAAGAAAGTACTCAATGAGGCATCAGGTAAATATCAGGAAGGGAGTATTTGAGAGACTTAAATAAAACGAGGAGGTGATGCTTAAAATTCCATAAGGCTTTGTTTTTTCTTTTCAAATGGTAAGTTTCCTACACTTAGTTTTACAGCTAAGAAAAGAAAAAGTAGCAGCTTTTTTCAATCTGATAAGAGTTTTCTGTATTCTCATTAAATTTAAATTGGTGATGAATGTAATTTAAACTATACTGACTCTCTGGATGCTAAATACAATGGTTTAAATTTTTAACAAATAAAAACTTTTTAAGAGTCACCTTTCATATCATATTAAAATTATTCATGTTAAATAAAGACCAAGAGAAAAAAAAATCACACTCACCTCACTAAATAAGCTACAAGCTCACTTATACTTCTCTTTCTCCAGAAAGTCAAAGCTACATTCAATCTCAAATTCCTGCTGAAGAGAACCTGGGCCATTGTCTCGTGGTCCTGAGACACCTGAAAGGCAATCAATCAGGCAATCATCTAATGTGTTAAATCATAATGAAACACGACACAGCCTTTTTTTTTATTTTAATGAAAACAGTCTGGTAGACACAGCTTTAAATTACATAAGGGCAACTCCCTTTACTGCTCCTCAGAAAGGAATTTAACAGTTTGTGGTTGAATACAGAGAATGAACAAATTTAGGACTTTTTCTCACCTCCCCTTGCTACCAATTTTCAAAAATCTGAGTAAGTTATTTCTAGCTGACCCATAAGCCTAAGACTTAATTTTCTGCATGTGAATACAGGAAAAGGTCAGCATATAAACGGGTTATTATCAAATGAGCAGCATGAGAAAGGAAGTACAAACCTGAGTTATGTCCTGTTACAAAGTTGCAAATGTACCATCTGAATGAATTTTTAAACAAAGTAATATATGGTATAAAAACTTTAGCTCAAAACTATTCAAGACAAAAAAATGAATACTCTACTGGCAAAACTGTGTGACATCATTCTCCAGAAACAATTACAGCTACTGAACTGGAATGTGTCCTCTAAATCATGCTTTAGACAATGAAAAGTAAGTATATCAAAAAGCTAAAAATTATATTTTTAAAAGCTCTTCCTTTTGACCATACATGAACATATGAAATGTATGAACATTTTCATTGCTAAAATACATATTGGCTTCAGCTATTAAAAAAATAGCAGTTTTAGTCTTTACATATCACCATTTAGAATATTTCTGTTTCTTCTTATTAACACTGTTTCTGTGAATTTCATGTGTGTAAATATATGCATCTGTACAATTACTTTCCTTAGAGTTCATTTCACAGCTAGAAGAGATAGTGGCAGGTTTGCTGAATAAGTCCCCACCAGGCCGTCCTAAGAACCCAGCAAAATGTGACTGGATAACAGCCTTCACTGATCTACTTTTTAAGGCAAAATGTCTTTTCCCCCTTTAAGTTTTTCCTTGCCAACTTGTCATTTTGGGTATTTACAGTAGCCTGTGAGGCATTTGATTTTACTGGGAGTTAATCTGTCCAACTGTCTTAGGGATGATTTCAATGAGTGACTGCTAAGAGAGTAACACAAGGGGGAAAGAGAGCAAGAACTTCAAACCAAACCAAAGCAACCTAGTATACTGTACAATATGAATAAAGTCAAGCTATAATGACTTACCTCAGAAAAGAAGCCACTATACTTTGATGACGGGCTTTCTGTCTGTGAAGAACCAGGATCACTGGTGTTAACTACAAATGTTCGACTATCATGGCGTAAATTTTCGGGCAGATGGCCTGCGCAAGCCAGTTCATTTTCTTTATTTGCCATGTCACAGCCCCCGCTATCAGGGGACTGCTTAGCTCTATAACAAGGATTTGGAAAGGGATGACGAACTAACTTTCTGTGATAGAGCACCTTCCGCAGTTTATCTGGATTTTTCACAGCTTGTCCAACTGTTCTGTAAAAAGAATTTATTTCTTAAGTGAAAAAAAAGGAAAAGGCACAAAAAGAAATTTTTAAATGGGAATTTTAATTGTCTACATTTTGCAATTGTAATCCACTAAAATTAGAAAATAATAATTTAAAAAGTCAACTCTTATTTTGAAGAGGAAAATAAAAGTTACAAATTAACTGGAAGGCAATGAAAAGAAAGTGGCAAGTTACAGGAAATGAAAACAGAAAAGGTTAAGAGGTGCGGTTTTTAAAATGAAAATTTAAAGGCAGTTATGGGAAGAAGAAAATATAAACATTTTTGAGACATCTAAGCCTTTTCTAAACTGGAATTTATTTTCTAACAAATAAAAATTATTCACATTTGAATATTTAAATTTATGTATTTTAAGCTAAATCATACTTAATTTTGTGTATGAAAGAATGTGTTCTTTTTTGTGTATTAAAGAATGTGTTAGCCGGGCAGTGGTGGCGCACGCCTTTAATCGCAGCACTTGGGAGGCAGAGACAGGCAGATCTCTGTGAGTTCGAGGCCAGCCTGGTCTACAAGAGCTAGTTCCAGGACAGGAACCAAAAGCTACGGAGAAACCCTGTCTCTCACACTCACACTCACACACACACACACACACACACACACACACACACACACACACACACACACACACAAAAGAATGTGTTCAGAGAAAAACCTCATAGACTACAAGAGTTTCCAGATCCTTTGGGATCATTATTACTTTTTCCTTTTTGGATCCCCGAAGGCAACAAGTCATAGACTGAAGTTCTGAAACCATGAGCTAAAGGTTTCTCACTATGTGGCTTGGGCAAAATCTGCATTCATAAAATTCTGTTGCAAATGGTAGGAATCTAGACATACACAACCACAACAGCCCTCCCCCACAATGTTTCTTCCCTATAAAAAAAGTCACAGTTCTGGGAAGCTAACTAAAAAAACATGCTATTATAGAATATTTTACTAAAAGAAACATGCTTTCAGAACAAACAGAAAAGTTTTGAAAATAGCTGTTTCACAATTTTCAATTTCAGTTTAACAGAAGACTGCTTACTTTCATTTCTGTCTCTACTTGCTCCCTTGTATTTCACTTTATGTTATTTCCGAATAACGCATCCTGTACACTTGTAGAAGAGGTGAAATGGACAGGGTGAACAAGGACTTCAGAGAGTCCCAAGGTCACACCTTGGATACAAGTAGTTTAGAAAGCTGCTTTTGGTAACTCTGGAATGCAGGCCATTTTTACTACTTTCTGGCTACACAACCTGAGCAAATTATTTCCTGTGACTATTAGTATTCTCTTCACTGTTTAGGAATAAAGGCAGCTATAGAAGGAACAGATAATACTAATGTATTAGTACAGAGACTGGCACAGAAAAGCTGTCTGACAACAAGTTAACTACAATTATAATAAAAAGAACACTATTTGTTTTATGTCTTTATCTCTAATCACTTTCAAAAATTTCCTCCAAACTTTAAAGAAGCTCTTACCTACTTATGTAAGCAGCCAACTGTTTTGGAGATTTCTTAACCTAAAAATCAAAGCAAATAGTGGTATCACATTCAGTTATTTAATAAGAGTTATGAAAACTTTATGACTGATGTCAACAATGCAACGTAAAATTCAATAGGTTATTTTCCGTTTTCTCTGTCCTAACACCATGGTGTCAACCACTAAGTACACTACTGTATCTTGTTTTTTTTTTTTTTTTTTTTTATTTTTCGAGACAGGGTTTCTCTGTAGCTTTGGAGCCTGTCCTGGAACTGCCTTTGTAGACCAGGCTGGCCTCGAACTCACAGAGATCCGCCTGCCTCTGCCTCCCAAGTGCTGGGATTACAGGAGTGCGCCACCACCGCCCGGCCCACTACTGTATCTTGTATATATGGAAAAGCAACATATCTACCATCCCCTTTTCACAAGACTTGTATTGAACTTAAAAGATGCTAAATGAGTCAGTTCAAATTTAATGTGGCTTAAAGCAAATTATTTCAGTGCCATTAAACCTCTCAATGAACAAAATGCATCACTGAGTTCCTTGTCAACTAAAACATTTATATTACAGCTTATAAAAACAGCATACTTGGCTGGGTTGTGGTGGGGCCACGTCATTAATCCCAGCACTCAAGGCCAGCCTGGTCTACACAGTGAGTTCTAGGACAGGCTCCAAAGCTACACAAAGGAACTGTCTCAAAAATAAAATAAAACAGCATACTTGAAAAAAATCTTCTTATAACTTTAGGAATAATAGTCTTGCTTCATTAATTCTATTTAATCTAAGAAATTAAACAGATCTGGTAGTTTAAACTTCTTACCTCCTTCATGTTCTTATTAGTGAAATTAGAGATCCTCTTTCTAGGAAGATCAATAGGATGATCCTCAATACTATTAAAGAAGTTCCGTTTTTTAACATGGTGGGTGTCAGATGCCATAATCTCTTAAGTGCCTAGGAAAATAAAAATAATAAATAGAAAATTTAAAAAGCCAAAGAACACGATCTTTTATAGCATGTATATACGTACATCAACAGCGCTGCGCCTTTAATCCCAGCACCGGGGAGGTAGAGGAGGGTGGATCTCTGTGAGTTCGAGGCCAGCCTGGTCTACAAAAGTTAGTTTCCAGGACAGGCTCCAAAGTGACAGAGAAACCCTGTCTTAAAAGAAAAGAAAAGAAAAAAGAAAAGAAAAGAACCAACATGGGCGTTACTGTCTGCTTGCTTCCTTCTGAGAAAATGCCTTGCTTTATAGCCCAGCCTGGCTTCATATTCCAGATCCTCCTGGCATCCTGACTGTGGTGGTTAGTATGTGTCAGGATTACAATTCTATTCTATGAAAAGCATAAACCCAGGTTCTTATAATAATATCAGGTACAAATGCAGTTGAAAGAACATATTCTAAACATCAAGAGTCATAAATAAGAGTTTACATGCTAAATTTTGAAACTTTCTTTCACTTAGCTCACCAAGGCTTGCAATCAAGCTCATTCTCCAAGGAGAGCACAAAAGATGGTTCTTTGGAACACTGACTAGTCCCACAGTAAAACATACATACATATAAACCTATTAGCACACACACACACATATATACATATCCCTTAAAGATACGGATATAATGGTAGTAAAAGTTGCCAAAGAAGTTTCTGTATCTAGTTTACAGTGGTGCTTGCTTATCTATCAGAGATAACAAAACCAATCGTGAGACCCAGTCTGAAAAAAACAAAGCAATGAAATATTGCTAGAAATTTAAAAATAGGATATATTAAGACTTAAAACGAATGCACAAAGAAAAATAAAAAAAACTCAAATACGTAGGGATGTAGAGATGGCTTACCAGTTGAGAACACTGGCTGCTCTTCCAGATAACCTGGATTCAATTTCCAGCACCCACATGGTAGTTCACAAGGTCTGCAATTCTAGTTACAGGGGATCTGACATCCTCCTCTAGCCTCAGTGGGCACTGAATGCATATGGTGCACAGACATACATGCAGGCAAAGCACCATACACATTAAAAAATTAAGACAAAACAAAACAAAAACCTTAACAGAAGTTGAAAGAGAAATTTGAAGTTATCTTCTAGAACATATGGGCAAATGATAAAAAGAATCAGAAGATAGGCTTAGAGGGCCCAACATCCAAACAGAAGTACAGGAAGAATAACGAGAGACCAATTAGAAATCAATGACAAAATTTAAGAAAACTATATGAAACTGAAGGTCACAAATTTCTAGATAAAAATGGCTCAACCCAAGTCACAATAATAATGAATGAAAACAAACCTAGATGGTATCACTTCAAATTTCACAGAATTAAAAGTATAAAAGAGAAACAAACAACAACAACAACAACAAAACTGTAGAGAAAGCAGTATGACTCTGATTAAAGAAGCTGGATTAAGAAAAAAATGGCCAGGTATGGTGGCATACACTTAATCCCAGGACCTGGAAAGCAGAGGCAGGAGATCTCTGTGAGTTAAGAGGCCAGCTTGGTCTACACAGTGAATTCCAAGCCAGCCAGCATGATAGAACCTTTAACAAAACAAAACAAAAAGCCCCAAATTCGGGCAACAACTTCATTTAGTCAAATGTGAGGGGCAGCAATCATTCAAAGTTCAAAACAAATTCCTTTCCAGTAGTAAGAATGACAAGATAGATTCTAAAAGGATAAATGAATTCTAAAATGAAGTCTAACATTCTAACAGTGTAGATTTTCTGACCTATAATGGAACAGGTTATAAAGCTTAGAAGAGCCAGGTGGTAGCAGCACAAGCCCCTTTAATCCCAGAATTCGAGAGGCAGAGGCAGACAGATCTCTGTGAGTTCGAGGCCAGCCTGGTCTACAGAGCAAGTTCCAGGACAGCCAAAGCTACACAGAAAAATCCGTCTCGTGGGGGTGGGGTGGGGGGGGGAGATCTTAGAATAAAAACATGCACAGAAATGAAATGAGTTTTTAAATAAAATCTGGGCCAGGCTTGGCACAGCACTTTAATCACAGCACTCCGAAGGCAGAGGCAGGTGGATCTGAGTTCAAGGTCAGCCTAGTCAACAGAGAGAGTTCAAGACAGCCAGGCTACACAGAGAAACCCTGTATAAAGACATAAATAAACAAACAAACATACATACAGACAGACAAACAAATAAAGTGCTGGATACCCAGTAAAGGAAAGAGAGAAAGAGAACTAGAGCCAGAAGGAAATGGCATACTTTAAAGTGCTATAATAAACACTCCTCCTTGCCAACTTAGGCTTCTATAAGAAACAATATTCATCAGGAATTAAGGGGGAACAATGACATTCTCATATGAAAGAAAATTAAGATAATTCATTACCAGCCTACAAGAATGGCAAAAGGGCTGCAGGGGTAGCTCAGTGGTTAAGAGCACACACTGCTCTTGGAGAAGATATGAGTTTGGTTCCCAGCATCCATGTTGCTCACAGCCACCTGTAATTTTGGTTCCAAGGGATTTGATGTTGGCAGCCTCAGGCACCTGTACTCATGTGCACAGATACATACACTCACATAATGTTAAAAGTCTTAAAAAATGAAGTGGACATTTGTTTTTGAGTTTTCAAAATTATTCTTGGTGGTTGAAGCATTTTGTAACACTACATAAACATGGTTCAAAATATACACAAAGGGAGAGTATTTACAATAACTGCAAATATTTACAAAAACTGTATCAGAGGGTAAAAGGAAATTAAGATGTAAGGTTTCTACATAACTTCACCAATAAAAGGCTATATTAAGAATCATTCTTTAAGGCAGTGGTGGCACACGCCTTTAATCCCAGCATTCAGGAGGCAGAGGCAGGCGGATAGCTGTGAGTCAGAAGTCAGCCTGGCCTACAAGAGTTAGTTCCAGGACAGGCTACAAAGTTACAGAGAAACTCTTGTCTTTAAAAAAAAAAAAACTTTAAAAAATTGTAGCTAAAATAGAAGATTCAAGCAATTCATAGAAAAGATAAACAAAAAAGAACAAAACCCAAAAATGACAGACTTAAGCCTAAAACAGCAATTTACCTTATATGAATTTAAAAATATTATTATTATTATTATGTGTGCACGTATACCATAGTGTGCCTGTGGGAGAACAACTCTGGAACTGATTCTCTCTTCTGCCATTACATGTGTTCTAAGGATTAAACTCAGGTTCTGTGGTTTGTGCAGCAAGTATTTTCCCTATGGAGTAGTCTGAACAGCTCTTACGTTATTCAGTGGTCTAGACAACGCTAGTTAAAACACAGATGTTGGGAGAGTAGATTAAGAAACATCGCCTAACTATATGCTCTCTATTTTATATTGCTCAGGGCTTTTTGTTTGTTTGTTTGTTTTGGTTGTTGTTGTTGTTTTAGAAAGGGTTCCACTATGTAGGCCTGGCGGGCCTCAAACTCAGAGATGCACCTGCTTCTGCCTCCTGAGTACTGGGATTAAAGGTGTGTTCCACTTTGACCTGTTACATAATGCTGAGTATCATACATGCTAGTCAAACACTTTCCCAACTGAGCTACATTCCAACCACACACAACATTTTAAAAATGAAAGACATTAATCATTAGAAAAACAAAATCAAAACCACATGAAATACTATTTTATGTCCACTAGATGGCCATGCAACAAAGACAAAAAAAAAAGTGCTGAGAAAGATGTGGAGAACCAATGACCTTCAGGCATCTCTATGCAAAGTCTTCTTTACACACCATCTCCTTCCCTCTGTCAGTACTGGGGATAAACATCTACAGTAACATGTATATGAGGCAAGTGCTTTCCCAATAAGCTAAAATTCCAGCCATGTCAATTTCTTACTATTAAATACAAATTTACAATAAGAATCAGCAATTTCACTCTTTCATATTTACTGAAAGGGAAGGAAAACATGTTTACAAAAAATTTGTATGCAAATAATGAGCATAGTCAGAAGACAAATATTTTGAATGTTTATCAACTGGTTAGCAAATTAAATGTGTCCTATCTATCTATTAGACTAGCAGCAAAAACGAACTAAGTACTCATAAATCTGTGTGCGTGTGAACAGTATAGTAAGTAAAAGAGGACATGAAAGACAAGTCATGTGACAGAATTCCATTTATATGAAAAATGTAAGATAGAAAACAGACTGTTGGTTGCTTCAAGCTGGAGTAGAAATGGAAGTAACTGCTCAAGGGCACAAAGCTTTTCACAATGACAGAAATGCTCTAAACATCTATTGGGAGAATGTTCCATTCTGTACTTCACAATTAGTGAATTGTACATTTAAAACAGGTGAGTTTCATGGTATATATACTTTGCATCACAATAAAGATTTAAAAGGGGAATTACCAAAATTGTAAGACAAAGACTCTGTAAGCTGCACATTCTGTTTTACCCATGCCTCGTGCATTAAACAACACCTTTCTTGAGCAATAATACAGCATTGTCCTTCTTCCCCAAAGGCACTTAGCAATGCTACTACTGGAACTAGTTTCGAGTCCTCCATATTTGATATAGTACAAAAAAGAGAAAAATCTGATGAGGAATTGAAAACTCATAAACTGGAAAGGATTTTTTTTAACAAGCAAAGAACAAAATAAGTAGGCCCTAAAAGAACAAAAGCAAAGAGAAAGAGATCAAAAAGGGAACAATATTCTAATATTATTTTACAACGTCTAAACATCAGACGTATAATTTGTAGTTTTCTTACAATAAGGCAATGCTTACAATCAGTAGCTTGTTTGAGAAAAACAAGAGCGTAAAAATGGAGCTCACAGGATGATTTCTCTTTAAATAGTAACTATCTCCTACCAGAAAGATAAAAGGGATCTATTCATATACTCTACTACAATGGCTGCCTAATTAAGTAATTAAACACTCTAAGTGTTAAGATACTCTGTCTTCTCACAACAAGGAAAGCTCATTACACAGGAATGAAACACGTCTGGACAGTTCAAGACCAAGTTAGCTTTCTCTTTACATAAATACACTATACTATATTAAGTTTGTATTTAACTTTGTAATTCCACTAGGCAATTTCTCTATAAAACAAAACACAGCTGTTGATAAACTTTTTAAGTTCATTCTTTTTTGCCTTTTTTTTTGTTTTTATTGTGCCATATATTTTTCTCTGCTTGCCTCCCTTCTTCTCCCTTCCTCTTCTATCCTCTCCCATGATCCCCATGCTCCCAATTTACTCAGGAGATTTGTCTTTTTCTATTTCCCATGTAGATTAGATCCATGTATGTAGGGTCCTCTTTGTTGTCTAGGTTCTCTGGGGTTGTGAATTGTGGGCTGGTTTTCTTTGCTTTGTTTCTAAAAGCCACTTGTAAGTAAGACAAAGACATTCTTCTACTTACTACAAGAATTCCTTCTATATCTTCTATAAGAGTCATAAAGATGAAAACAGTTTTTAACCACTATTTCTTTCCTTCTACCTTCCCTCTTCCCTCTCTCCTTCCTGTATAAATCTTAATTGGAGCTTAAAAAAAATCACTACCTTATAATAATAAAATACATAAATAAGAAATAAATTCAGCAGTGCAATATCTTAACCACTTGATCACTTTGTCATATGCTGGGAGCCGATTTGAGTGGCTGCCATTACAAGATGGCATTTGGCCCCAGCCTCGCTTGATAAATAACTCCATATTAAGGTTGCAGTTCTTCCACCAGAAAACAGGGTGAGTTGTTGTGATCTAGCTGCCTACACTCCCCCTGACCGGTGTGGTCTGTAATTGACAAGGATGTTCCCCTGCTTTCTTTCCAGCCGGTGGGTCTCCAGAAAAGCAGTTAAAGTATCAAAGGTTGCTAGGCAGACTCCCTATATAAGCAGCTACAGCTCAGAGCTCGGGGCCCCTTGCTTTCTGCTCTCCCTATAACCAAGAGGCTCCAATAAAGCGTGATTTGGGAAGAATCCTCGTCTGGTGGCTGTTCTTTCCTGCTGGTCAGGGAGTTCGCCGCAGTCATATAATCCCAGGATTCAGGAGACAGAAGGTTCCATCCTTTGCTATACAAAGAGACCCTCTCTCGAAAACCAAACAAAACAGACAAAGCCAAATCACTTCCGAATAATGTCCTGAAAAGTTAAAGTTTTAAAAATTGGTATTTTAAAGCACAGGGTACCGGAGAGAATATTTTAATGGTAGTGTGCTTGCCAAATATGCACAGAATCCTGGGTTTGACTCTCTAGACTCACAACACTTAACGATGACAACAACAACAAAAACCAAAACTATTAAAACGGGATACAAAGCAATGCACTGCATAATCCTGGTGTGATGGTTAATCTTGGTTGTCAAAGTTGACTATATCTGTAATCAATTAAAACCCAAGCAGCTGGACCTGTTTGCTGAGGGATTTTCTTGATTGGATCAGTAAGTGGAGAAGACTCACCCTAAATGTGGGCCATACTTTCAGGCGGCAACCTATATGAAATGACATAAAGGAAGCTTTTTTCTTTTTGCCTGCTGTCCTCACGCTATCCTGGAAGGTTCTTCTATCCTGTCCCTGAGACATTCATTCCTTCACTGGTATTGGAACCTACTTCTTAGGAATTCCAAGGGAGACTGAAGACTGGCAGCCTCTAGTACTCTAGCAGACTGGGACTGCTGAGAAATCCAGTCTTGAGGCCCAAACAACAACCAGATCCATTGCCTTTCCTTCTCGAGACATCCATAGTTGGATTACTCAGACCACAGCCTATAAGCTACACTAATAAATCCTTTATTGTATTCATTCAATCAGTGCTGTTCTTTTGGAGAACCATAACTAATATATCTGTTTTTAAAGGTCCTACTAATCCCCCCACAAAGGACACAAGGATGGAAAAGGCAAATAAGATCACATCAAATTTAAGTTTCTGCACAAAAGAAACATTCATTAGAAAGAAAACCTAAAGAATGGAAAAAATATTTGCAAATTATACAATCTGACAAAAAGCTAATATCCAGAATAATACAGAAACTCAAAACCTGCAACAGCAAAAAAGAAAGAAAAATCAAGCAGCTTAATTAAAAATGGGCAATGAACCTTATTACAGTTTGGATCTGGAATGTCCCTGAAAGTCTTCTTGTTGAAGGAGGTAAGACCTAGCGTGGAGTCAAGGGTAAGTAGGTCACTGGCAGCATACTTATCTCTTAGCCCCTAGTCCCTCCCCTGCATTCTTTCTCCTTGGCCACAGTGAAATAAACAGTTTTGCTCTACAAGACTCTACATACAGTAATTTCCTGTCTTGCCATAGCAATGGGGTCAAATGAACTATAACCTCTGAAACTGTGAGCAAAAATAAATATTTGCTCTTCTCAAATAGTTTGCTCAGGTATTATCACATCAGTAGTAAATTAACATAATCTAAACACACATTTCTGAAAGATAGACAAACTAATAGTCAATGGAAACATACATGCTAGCTAGCTAATATCACTAATCATCAGAGAAATTCAAATCAAGTCACAATGAATTATTACCATATTCCATGAGGAAGGCCTATTATCAGAAAAAACAGAAAACAAGTGCTGGTAAGGATATATAGAAAAGGAAACCCCTTGGGCTAGTGAGATGATCAAGTGTCCTCTGACCTATACATGCAAACCAGGGCACACATGTACTCTACCCACATCCCTCTGCAAATCATACATACACACAATAATTAAAAAGTTTACAAACAAAAAGAGATTCCTACACACCAATGATGGGAATGACTATTAGTATAGTAATTATAAAAAACAGACCAGAAATTTTTCAAAAAATCAAAAACTATCTGATGATTCCGTAAATCCACTATTGGATATTTATCCAAAAGAAATAATTCTGTTTGTCGTAGATAACTATACTTCTGTGTTTACTGTAACACTATTCACAATAACCAGGAAATGGAAATAATCTGCTTACTAGTAAATGATGAATAAAGAAACTGTGGTAAATAAATATAAACAACAGAATACTACAAAGGATGAAATCTGTCCGGAAATAGAGATTATGTAAGTGAAATAAACCAAGGACAA